TCTTTCCCTGTTGTCTGTTCTTGTCTTCTTTGTTGTAAGTTAACTGACCACATATGTGTGGGATTATTCCTGGGCTCTCTATTCTGTTCCATTGATCTACATGTGTTTTTGTGCCAATACAATACTGTTTTGATTACTATAGCTTTATGATATTTGAAATCAGTGAGCGTGATACTTCTAGCTTTGTACTTGTTTCTTAAGATTGCTTTGACAATTCAGGGTCTTTTGTGGTTCCGTACAAATGTTAGGAGTGTATTTTCTAGTTCTGTGAAAAATGTCATGGGTATTTTGATATTGCATTAGATCTGAAGATGGCTTTGGGTAGTATGGACATTTCAACAATGTTAATTCTTCTAATCCATGAACTCAGAATATCTTTCCATTTATTTGTACCTTTTTCAATTTCTTATATCAGTGTCTCATAGTTTTAAGTGTACATGTGTCCTTCACCTCCTTGGTTAAATTTATTCCTAGGTATTTTGTTCTTTTGGCTATAATTGTATATGTAATTATACATACATATATATATAATTAAATATTTAGTCACTATTCAAATTTCCTGGATTATCTAATGTTTAGTATGTGTGTTAAACTCAGGATCAAAATAAGGTAAAAATTGCACTTGGTGGGGCCAGGGTTTTAAGTCTTTTCAAATTTTTTGTCTCACTATGAACTAGTGGATTATAGTTGTTATATTTTTGACAGTGGTCAGTGGGACCCTCTTCGGACTGGCTCTTCAGCCCTTTAGACACACCTCCTGGGTTCTTTGAGGCCACACCCGGGAACAGGAAGCTCGATTCCTGGGGAGGTGGTGCATTTTGCGTCCTAGACCCGACACTTCTGGGGCCCCGCTGCCTTCTAGGGGAAGAGGAATTTGGGCACTGTCTGGGAACTTGATGTTACTGGCTTTTTTCAGTGGACAGAGTAGGAGGTGATGTCTGCCTGCTTTGCACGATTCCCTGCATCATGGGTTTATGCTGCTAGTTCCAGCTCAAGACCTCAGGGTTTTTTCTTAAGTCACCGATCTTTCTCCACAGTGAAAAATTGCAGCGGTGATAACTTCCAGCAGAAGTACTCGTGCCCTGAGGCCACTCTGCACACACCACAGTCTACAAATAACCGTCTCCACACTGCCTCTCAAGTGTGAAATTTCCGAGCGCAGCTTAAGATGTTTTTTCAGTTCTTTTTGCCCGTGGGACTGGATTAATGAAATTCCTGTGTTTAAAGTCACTATAAATAGATTCTCTCTGGGGCTGTGCTACCAACCTGATTCCACTTTGGTTGAGTTCATTTGTTTTATTTTACTTTCAGTTGTTAGGGATTGCTTTTTGAAATTTTAAGTTTTTTGTGTGTAAAATATATACATGGTTCCAAATTTGAAAGCCAGGTGTATTCAGAGGAGCCCAGCTTCTGCCGGCCTTGCTGCTCACTGCTTCTCCCACAGCAAGTCACTTAACTACTTTTACGGCTTTTTGTTAATGTGAGCAGTTACAGATTTATATTCGATTGTGTACATACACAGAACGTGTGTGTAAGTGATAGGAAATGCACACTCGCCTCGCCATGTTTCTCTTCTAGCAAAACGTCCCAGAGGTCACAGTTCCCCATCTCATGCCCCCCCTTCCAGGCCATCGACAGCATCCACCAGGTGGGCGTGTACTGTCTGGCCCTGGTTCCTGCAAACACCTTGCCCAAGGCCCCTCTAGGAGGGATTCACGTTTCTGAAACCAAACAGCGCTTTCTGGAGGGGATGCTGCACCCGTGTAACGTGTTAATGTGCCCTCACACGTGTGTTACCAACCTTCCCAAGCCTCGCCAGAAGCAGCCAGGTTAGTGTACATCACACAACACGTCTATTCCGTCTTCAGACTGCGGCAGCTACGCTTATGTTTAACTGGTGCAGCCCTGTTGAACGCTCCATCTCTGGGGTCGGGGCTAAGAGCCAGAGCGAACGGCACACCGGGTCGGTCCCCACCTCCTGCCCCGCCGGGGAGAGCACAACCCCACGTCCCCAGCATGGGGGTTCCCCCCGCCTGTTAGCACCCACCCCAGGACTGGATTCAGGCCTGGCGTCTGAGCAGTGGAGGCTGCTCCCTGGGGGCAGAACTGATGCCCAAGAGCAGCCCTGGAGCTTGGAATCTAAAGCGCCGCTGCAGCCACCATTGTGCCGTGGGGCGCCGGCCACGCCAAGGCCACGGGGCCTGTGGTCGCCGCACGTGCTGCTACTCGGCTCTGTCATCAGCCACAGTCACCGGGTTGACGGGACCTAGGAAGCCCCAACAAATGGTCAACTTCCCTTCCCTGGTTTAACTCTTATGTACAGTTTTTCATTCCTTTGGTTATGTAAATTTTTAGTAAATGCTAACCTTTGTTGATTATTAAACACATAAAATACCATTAAATGAAACACAACCAGTAAAACAATGAGATAAATACATTAAGAGTTTAGCTGTGGCTGAGGTCTAATCATATCTCCCCAGGGCATCTGCCATGTGGTGAATGTCTCCATCTGGCTTGTTTGTAAGACAGAGATTCTGTTTGTCACTTAGCATAACCCTTGTAGCTGGTTTCCCGAACACCTGTGTCATAGTGAAGAATTAAATGCCTGCCTGTTCAAATAAAAAGTTGTGTGATGATTACCTCTCAGACGTCACCCACCTCTCACTTGCAATCCCCCCTCGCTTTCTAGAGATTGGGCCAGCCTCCATGGTTGTTGGGAACCTGGTCGCTGGGAAGAGAATCGCTCAGGCCTCGGGGAGGGAGCTGTCTCACCTGGAGGACAGTGACCAGGCGAGGAAGGTAAGGGCGGGTGGCTGTGGGGAGGAGGGGCCTCCCTGGCGGGTGGGAAGCCGCCAGCACTGAGCGCCCCCCACCCCCACCCCGTGCGCCCTGCAGCTCCTGTTCCTGCCCGACGTGCTGCGCTGGCGGGCCAGCACCACGCCCGAGCACCTGCTCTTCCTGCTGCTGAGCGCCAAGGTGAGGCCGCCCGCGCCTGCGGGCCACGCACTGCCCGCCTAGGAGGGGGGCCGAGGTCTGTTTCCCAGCCATGGCGCTCAGGCTCAAGTCCTCACGTTTGGAGAACAGCAAGCCTTGGCACCCAGGCCCCGGCTGGCCTGCCTCTCTGTGTGGGAGCCTCGGCTTCCTCACAAGCCACACAGTTACCTTTCTGTGGCTTTTATATTTAACAGGAAAATTCTCATTACCTTGTCTTTTGATTATGAATAGTATGCATGTAAGTACTCCTAAGTGAACTAAAAGGAAATGTTTATTTTGTAAAGATTAGGAATTTAGACCTTCTACATTTGTTGATAGCTTTAACGTGACAAATACTGCTTATTGCCCTGATCCTGGGTACCTTTCAGTGGGCGTTACATGATACCAGGGGCTTCTAGGGTATCAAGGAGAAAGTGTAAGTTGCGGGCCAGTAGACAAACTATGAAAACATGAAAAATAACAATGAAAACCCTGCATGACTCGCTGTCAGGCGCTCCTGGGCCCACGAGGACGCTTGTGCTCTGACGTCTTAGAAACACTGGCCTTGGGACTTCCCTGGTGGTCCAGTGGTTAAGACTCTGCACTCCCAATGCAGGGGGCCCAGGTTCAGTCCCTGGCTGGGGAACTCAGATCGTGCATGCCGCATGGTGCAGCCAAAAAACAACAGAAAGAGAAACACCAGCCTGGCTTTCAGTCCTGCTCATTACTGGCCACTGCTCCTCCGTTCAAAAATATTGATTGCTGCCTGCTACATAAACAGTGTTAAAGAAGACAGAAAAGGCCCCTATTTGCCAGACAGTGAATTAAGTCTTCCTGTGGCTGATGGAATTCTAAAGCCAATAAGTAACAGTTGACCAAGATAAAGTCAGCTCATGGCGAGAAGCTGAAAATCAGTGCAGCCGGGGCTGTGAGGCGGCGAGGCCGGGGCACTGGGCTGACCCCAGGTGTGAACCGTGAGGGGTGTGACGGGGCCCGTGATTCTGAGCGACTCCTCTGGATTGTAAGAGGGCAAGGGTGGGAGCAGGGGGCTGTGGTCCAGGCGAGAGATGGCCATTCAGAGAAGAGGACGTGGGGATGTAGACGCGTGGGGGGGCGGGGGTCAGAGCCAGGCCCGCAGGATCGAGGGTGGCCTGCGTGGGGGCTGAGCGCCTGTGCAGATGGGGCGCTTCCCAGGGAGGAGGGGGCTCTGGGTGGGCGTGTCCAGAGATGCCACCAGGAGCACAGTCAGCCCAGAAGACCCCATGACCGTCTTTAAAGCTCAGAGCTCAGGAGGAACCAACAGAAGACCACCTGGCCTTCTCCAGGTGCATTCCAAAAGCTTGTAAGTTTTTGCACTTCTTTTGGCTTGTCAACCTTCTCAGGTTTGAGTTGTCCTTAGGTCTCCAAGGATATGCCGGCTTTCGACCCGGGAGGAGGCCTGTGCCTGGCAGGTGGTGTCTCTGGCACGAGGTGGCCCCTAGCCTCGGGGACTGGGGGGGCTCTGGGCCTTTGGGCTCCTGGTGCATGCCCAGCATGGCGCTCTGTACCTCGGCTTGGGTGTGAGGAGAGTCTGACCTGCTGCGCGAAGCCCCCGGACCTGCGTGGCGCAGCCTCGGCCAAGGAGCAGTGAGGGGTTTGGACGCTGCGCCAGGCTGTCCTGGAGGCCGGTGGTGGTGAGGCCGAGTGGCGCCATACTTCTCCTGAGAACGACCGAGAGAGCCGTGAGGCCTGACTCGGGTCGGCAGGGGGAGGGAGGCTCAGCTCGGAGCCGGTCCCTGGCCCAGCTCTCCTCTGCAGAGACCCAGGGCGGGGCGCCCCGCCAGCCACTCGTCCGCCCAGGCTCCCTGAAAGAGCAGCCTGCGGTGACCCAGGCCTCGGGACCTGGTGGATGGGGTGCCTGAACATGCGTCAGGGTTCAGTTTAGGGGCCTGTATTTACTGTTTCTCATTTGCTTATGTGTGTTTATATTTAGGATAAGGGTTGCTTTTAGGGAGGGAGAGGATGGAATTGGGGGTGTGTGTAGAGTGGTGATGATTTATTTTATAAAAGAGACATTGAAACAACGTGGCAAAATACTAGGTAATGAAAAGCTGGATACTTATTACATTATTCTTTATAATACTGTTATATTTAAAATATTTTTTCATAACGGCCAAAAGGGTTTTCTTCAATCGCCAAGTCTTTGACCGTGGTGGACGACCAGGCTCTGAGAAGACTGCAGACGGGTCTGGGGTGGCACCTGTCCTGGTTCCTGACCACAGGGGCTCAGACACGGGCTGTGCGCGGAGTGTCCATGGGTCGTCCCCTGCCCCCCGCTCAGCAGTGCCCACGATCGCTTTCCTAGGGCACAGTCACCAGCACCACCACCTGCATCCAGCTGCACAAAAAGGCTGAGAGAGTGGCCGCTGCTCTGATGGAGAAGACCAGGCTGACCACCGGGGCCCACGTGGCCCTGGTCTACCCTCCAGGTAAGGACCTGCCAGCCTGCCCTCTGCCCGTGCCCACCCTGCGCTCCCGTCACGCGTGCCTGCACCCCTGTGAGCACTTGTATGTAATTGTGAGTCCACTCTTGCCTGTCTTAGTGCAGCCTTTCCTTTCTGTTTGCTTTCTTCATCTGGCTGTTCTTCCCGCATCTCTCCCCTCTGTTTTGTTACTAGAAAGCAAACACCCTTGTAACCACCAACCAGGTTGAGAAATGGATCTTTGCTTTTCCTGTCCCAGCCACCTCCTCCATTCTCCAAAAGTAGCCTCTGTCCTGACCTCTGTGGTCACCATTTCTTCCATTTCTCCATAGTTTGATCACCCAGATGAGCGTCCTAGTCATCACAGTTTAGTCTGCCGCTTTTCTTTAAATTTGATACATTTTTAAGTCTCCTTTAACCTGCAGGCTGCCCTCTGTCCATCTCTTCTGTGGCCCTGGAGCGTCCCCGCCGTCTGGAGTGGCTCCGTGTGTGCCGGGCGGCTGCTCCTGGGCTCCCACAGGGAACCCCGGGTCAGACTCCCTCGCAAGACCCTAAGGCTGTTTCTTTCTTTAGCACGCTAGCAGCCATTGACATTCTCTGTCCCGCATTCATTAACGCTTTAAGGGTCACTAAATGGTGGTGTTCTGACTCTGTCCTTTCTTTTTCACTTATCAGCCGTAAACTGTGAACAGACACTTGCCCTCGTTAGTATCTGGTCACCCAGTGGTAGAATTCAGCTGTGAAAGGTAGAGTAAGTGTTGCTTCTTTCCTTCTATCAATAAAATGAATTCTGTTTCTTGTCGCACCCTAGTGGGAGCTTGCTCCCACGTCCTCGTCCTCGGATGTGACCTCCCGTCCTAATGCCTCCTGCTGTCTGCTGGGACCAGGTGCCCCGGCCAGTTCTCTGTGGAGCCTGGTGTTCACAGCACCAGTCTGGGCCAGGGGCTCGTCCCTCCTGGGCTGGCCGCTGGCCGTTGGCCCTTTCCTTGAACAGAGCTCTGATTTAAAATGAGTATAATAATTATATCTTGGAGACAGGCAGTGCCTCATGGGTTCATACTGCTGCACTCAATCAGATTCAGGGTTACAGGCTTTTACTGAACCCTCCTTGACGTTCCGTCTGCTTTACGCCTGTGTCTCCCTTCTTCCCTACTGAGAATCCTGATTCTCCAGGATGGGAGTCGATAGAATTCAAATATCCCAAGATCACTCACTTGCTTTATCCTGTGTCACAAGCAGCATCTCCAAAATAACGGTAGTAATACGTGACCACCTGTGTGATTTTTGAAAGCAGCTTAAATATTTTCACACGTGCTTTCTCCACCCATTTTCCCTGTAGCTGTGCTCTCTGTGTCGCCAGGGCGGGTGGGGCTGGGGGCCTGCAAAGCCGGCCTCTCCTCACCCTCAGTCCACCGGTGACTGCGTTCAGTCTCTTTCTGCCACGCTGGTTCTCTAATTGGTTTCTCAGGAAGGGTTCATGGGAACAGTATCCCCTGAGTTCTTGCTTGTTGGTAACAGTCTGTACACTTCGTAATGAAAGTTGTTTTTGCTAGATAAAAAAATCCCTGACTCACATTTTCTTTTCTTGAGCCTCTCAAATATGTGTCCATTTTCTCCTGGCCTTAAGCATCAAGTCTGACGATAATCTAATTTTCTTCCTCTTATGAGTCACTGGCCTTTTTGCTCTAGGTGCCAAAAGGACATTTTTTTCCCCTTCTTAAAGTCCGGCATATGGTTGTAACATTGATTATTACAAGGCAGCGTTCTCTTACCTAAGGTATCTTTGGAAGGCAGCTACGCTCACCACTATACCATCAATGCCGTACAGTGTATAAGGTATCTTTAAAAAAGAAGCTGCAAATCTTTTTTTTTTTTTTTTTTTTTTGAATTTCAAGGAAGTTTTCTAGAACCGTAGTCTTTTCTCTGTCCCTTCCCTTCCTTTGATCTTCTTCGCATCTCCTTCCTGCTCCCATGGCCCACGTGTTAGGTCTTCTCTGTCGTTTTCCCCGGGAGTGTCTCCATTGAGTTTCCAGTCTCGTCCTCTTCGTGGTTTCTGTGTCCATTGTCTTGTTTGCTCTTGGGCTCCTTCTAGTTGCATCTTCGTTTCTGAAATGATTTTTTGTAATTTCTACTTCTTTCCTCATTTCTTTTTTTCTAGGTCTGATTTTGGTTATTCTTTCGTATCTTGCATCATTTTCTTAATGCATTTTAGCACATGTTAAAATGGGCTGCAGTTCTTATCTGCTGACTTTGCCTGGACAGATGACGGTCTGCCCCTGATTCTTTTCCTTGTACCTTGGGTGGGACTTGGCCCCCGGGCCATCCACACGGATCCCTCACCCCTCCCGTCTCCTTCTGCGCCCCGCTCCGTGGGCCTCTCTGAGTTGGGCTGGATTGCTGGCCCCAAACCCTCATGGCTGCTCACTGGCACCGGTGAGTGGGTGAACGGTTTCCGTCCCTCGCCCTGCTCTCTGATCAGACCCACAGTTGTGAGAACAAGATGCCTGCGCCTCCCCAGTCGGGACGTCTGTGTCTCCTGGGGGCTCCCAGCCCTCCCGGCTCCCTCCGGTGCCACCTGGCTCCTGTGGAATCCCCTCGCTCTGCCCAGTGTGGCCCCCACAGCCCGTCTTCACCGCCGGCGCCGTCTCACCCGCTCGGCGCCCGCTCTGCCCCTCCTGCCTTGTCTTGGGGTCCTGGTTCTGGGAGTTTGCTGCTTGGCTGTTAGGGGATGTTTTTCTCCTGCGTCTGGCGCACGGGTGATGGCACTCGGAAGACCTTTCCCTTTCCCGGGCGGCCTGGGCCTTCGCTGGAACAGGAATCACAGGTTTCTCTGGCGTGGCAGGTGCTTCCCCAGGGTTGTAGATGGTTTTCTTTTTTCCCCCCTTTATAAGTCTGTTGTTGTTTTGCCTGGAAGCTTGTTGGTTCTAGTTCAGGAATTTTACTGGGAAACGCCTGGGCCTAGGTCCTCTCTCACTTTCCTGCCCACTTAACCTTCACCTCAGGAAACTGTTCTTTTTCGTTACTGCCTTTTCTCCCTCCTTTTCATGCTTCTGGAACCGCCTGACTCAGGTTGTGGGTACCGTCTCTTTTTAGTGTGTCTGGCAGGACACGACGTGTGCTGGGTACTTGCTCTCTGCTTGTGGGATCTGGGGGCCTCTTCCCAGGGCGCTGCCGTGGAGGGCTCCCTGCCCGGCAGCCAGGGTGAGCTGGTGGCCCGGCCTGTTTCTGGACGCGGACGCGTGGCGGCTCGGACGCCTCGGGCTCCCGCTGGCGTTACGGTTACGCTGCTCTTTCCGGTCCCGGGAACGTGCGGTCATTTCTCTCCAGGACTGATTGCAGCTCCCACTCTTCTCGTCTCCCTGACCTCAGTGTGAGGCAGACATCTCCCCGGCCGAGATGAGGCCAGGGACACAGCCGCTCAGGAGCCCCGGCCATCACCGTCCACACCCGGCGGAGAGCCTGGGAGGACCACGGCCATGCAGGGGCTCCGGGCTGCAGCTGCAGGCGTGCAGCGTGAGGACATCTGGGGGTGAGGGACGCTGAAGTAACAGGAGAATAGGAGAAAAGATGGAAGGAGGCCCAACGCCTCTCTCTCTTTGGGGCATGTTTGACACTTTATAAAAAATTTTTAGTGAATGAAGGAAGATGCTTGGTGAAGTTCTGAATTTACAACCTTACCAGCAGGTGGAGAGTATAATGAATAGCTGGAGGGCAGATCCCACCCTGCTTGAAGGCTGGGAATGGGTCCAGGTGTTTTGCAGATGCACACCGGTGTGTGTGTGTGTGTGTGTGTGTGTGTGTGTGTGTGTGCGCGCGCGCGCGTGCGTGCGTGCACACGTGTTGTGCATTTCCTGATTTCCTGCGAGGGGCCAGGACTTTCTCCTCACAGGGGTGTGTGGCCCTGGGGTGACCCTCTGGGAGCTGCAGACAGGTGGGGTGCGGGCAGGGACAGGGCTGCCCCGCATGTTTGCCTGGTGACGCCAGGACAAGAGGAGATGCACACGCAGGGATGGCAGGAGCTGCATGAGCTTGTGGAAGTGAGTTGCTGATGGTGCTTTCTTGTGTTCAGTGTGGTGATACCTTTGTGGCGCGTTGGGCAGAGTGGCCCTGCTGGGTGTGAGGACGCTCACACGCGTGTTGGCCTGCCTGCTGGCTCTGTCTCCTGAGCTGCCCACAAGCACAGGGCAGATGGGTGGTCCCTGGTGGGTGGGCTCAGGCCCGTAAAGATGACCGTGCTGAGCACCCCTGGCCCTGATGGAGCATCGTGAACTTGTAATCTGGTGAAACCCGTGAGCTGGGTTAAACGTTGTGTATTTATTTTGACCCTGGAATCAAAACAGCCTGAGACTGGTGTATGGTAGCCAGATGTTGTCAGGCAGGGCCTTGTGTGATTTGAGGACAGCATCTGGAGGAGTCTCCAGGGTGTGGGACTCAGGTGTCCTCAAGTCGGACTGAGTTCAAGAGGGGAAGATGGGTTTTATGTGTGGTACAGTTCCCCCTGAACTTGAAACACATGAAAGAGTTGAAGGAACAGCAAGTGGTCCCACGTTGTGGCGCGGGGTTGAGAGCGGGGCAGGGACATCCTGGCCCATCCCCAGGGGTGTGGGCCTCCCTGGAGAAGCGGCCAGGCCCCCCATGCCAGGGCGCAGATGCACACGAGAGGTGTGGGGCTTCCGGGGTGGGCAGCTCGCCCACCCGCCCTCCATGGCCTCCTCTGGGCCGTGACTGCGCGCCCCCCGCCACCTCCTGGCCTCCCCGTGTCTGGACGGGGGGTGACCTGCAGCGGGGTAGCTCTCTGTCCCTCCGTAACAGTGCTGTTCGGTGCACACCCTGTTAGTGTGGAGGAGGTTGGTTTTATTCAAGCACAGCAGGTGAGACACCTGGTCTTTCTCGTGGATCCATGGCCCTGGACGTGGGGAGCCGCCTTTGACCCGCGGACGCCCTCTGACCATGTGTCTCCCCAGGGGTGGACCTCATTGCCGCCTTCTACGGCTGCCTGTACTGCGGCTGTGTGCCCGTCACTGTGCGGCCCCCGCACCCCCAGAACCTCGCCACCACGCTTCCCACCGTCAAGATGATTGTGGAGGTAGGCAGGCACCGTGGCCGGCAGGGCGGACCAGACCGTGGGCCCGTATGCGGTTCGCTCCCAGGCGCCGAGTCTCACTAGTGCCTTCAACCCGTGCCCTGCAGGTCAGCAAGTCTGTGTGCGTACTCACGACACAGGCCATCACGCGGCTGCTCAAGTCCAAAGAAGCACTGGCCGCCGTGGACGTCAGGACCTGGCCGACCATTCTAGATACAGGTGCGTGTCCTCGCTGCGTTGGTGTGCTCGCTGGCCCCGCCAGGATCAGCCCCCTTTCCTTCCTTTGTTGTAGGGATTGCGTTGTCGCCACGTAAACATAAAGGTTGGCTAAGAGCAGCTTAGCAGCTTCAGTAAATGGTGAGAAGCTACTAACAGGAGCCTCCCGGCTGGGTGCCTGACAGCCTCTGTCCACCAGCTCAAGCCTAGAGCCAGGCACGCAGAACGGAGGGCGGCTGGTGGGAGCAGAGGTCCTTCCAAGGCCCGGCGCCTGTGGACGAGCTCCCTTTGCTGCCTTTCATGCCCACGCAGCGGTTGGCAGTTGCGGGGACATAGGCGGTGCCCACAGCACACACACACACCCGTCCTGGGTCCCCATCATGGGTGCATGCTCCCGCGCCCCAGGAAATGCTTGTGGGCCCCCTCTGCCTTGGCCTGTTGGGTCAGCCATCAAGACACCCCAAACCAGCAGCACCCTGCAGGCTCCATCGGTAACTCGAGGCGCACGGCCACATGGGTGCCAGCCAGCAAGCAGAGAGGGGTCCCTCCTTCCCCTTCGCACCTGGTGGGTATAGGTGCCTGTCCTTGCCCACCAGGGCACTGCCCACTAGAGGAAGTCAGGGACCGTGTTGTCAGTGGCCACCTGCCTGATACCAGCAACAGGCACGGGGAGCTGGTCCAGGGCGGCTGGCGGGGTGCCCAGGGGTGGGCCCGGGAGCAGATGGGCTCCGGGGAGTCCCCTCACCTCACCTGCTCCCTGCCCTCGCCTCGCCTGCGCCCACCTGTGCGCGGTCAGTGCTGTGCCCATCTCATGGTCCTGAAGGAACGCGATGAAGCACCCAGAGCCCTGGGGGCCCATCCTTAGCACTCACTGTGCACAGAGATGTCAGTAATCCTGGCTCCATCACAGGCTCTGGGACCCTGGCCAAGTCCCCGCTCCTCTGAGCTTTCCTGTGGGGCTCTCTCGGCCCAGCTCCAGCCCTCCGTGTCCACCTCGTCCCCTGTCCCCATCCCCACATGCTCAGCGTGGTCGCGAGGGTCCGTTCCACGTGACCTTCCCTGCGTGCATGCGCGGCCACTGCTCTCCCGCAGCCTGACTTCTGCTCTGAGCTCCCCAGCTCCCCAGGTGCGTCCTGTCTCCTCTCTCCCCACGAGAGCCTGAGCTAGCATCCACGCCACCCGTGTCTCCTGACCGACAGATGACATACCCAAGAAGAAGGTGGCCAGCATCTTCAGGCCCTCGTCCCCAGACGTGCTCGCATACTTGGACTTCAGCGTGTCGACCACGGGGATCCTGGCGGGTGTGAAGGTGGGTCCTCTGGCTGGAGCTCCCCTCCACTCCGGCCCCTGACACAGTGGGCGGGGAAAGGGCAGAAGGGTGTTGGCTGCAGGTCTGTGCAGGCCCTTCCTCCTCCCAGAGCTTAAAGCAGCAGGTTTGCTCCTTAAAATTTGTGTTAAATACCAATATACCCCAGGATTAGGTTAGCCTGAGAGTGATGCGTATTTTAGTGTTTTATGGTAATGTCTAAACTTTCTGATTCGTGACTGTCTGGCCTCGAGGACCAGGTGACTTGGATGAGTCTGTCACATTAGCAGGCACCAAACGCTCCACTAAAGTTCTCTATTACCCTGAACTTTCGCCTAGAAGATTCCTAGTGTGTCATACCTGGGTACTGATTGGTGTATGTGGGATTGGGGCCAGCCACCCTTTCAGGAAGTGAAGGTGTCTGGCTGCTGTGGGCAGCCACACATTCCCTCACATCACTGAGCAGAGCTTTCCTTTCACTCCTTAAGATGTCGCACGCAGCCACCAGCGCCCTGTGCCGCTCCATCAAGCTGCAGTGTGAGCTGTACCCCTCCAGGCAGATCGCCATCTGCCTCGACCCCTACTGTGGCCTCGGCTTTGCCCTGTGGTGTCTCTGTAGGTGAGTGTGCAGGTAGAATGTGCAGGTGAGTGGAGGGTGAGTGTGCACGTGAGTGGAGGGTGAGTGTGCAGGTGAGTGGAGGGTGGGTGTGCAGGGGAGTGGAGCTGAGTGTGCAGGTAAGTGGAGCTGAGTGTGCAGATGAGTGGAGGGTGAGTGTGCGGGTAGAATCCCCCCACTCCTTACCCCACCCCCAGCTGAATTGCTTCTTTAGACGCCCCCTTTCTAAGGTACATTTTTGACGCCCACCAAACAGAGGATACATGTATGAGTGGGTTGGTTTGTGTGGGTGTTTGGTGGGTTGGAGTTAGGGTCTGAAATTGAGTAAAAGAGTGAAAATGCCTTTTTATTAAGTGCACACTCTCCGTTACTGCTAATTCCATCCAGAACAGGGAAGTAGGAACCCATCTTTGTAAGCAGAACCCCGTCCCTGCCGGCTGGCCCGTCCCTGACAGCGACCCTGGATCCTTGAGTGCTGGTGGCGGGACCTGCGCCCCCAAGTTTTCTACTGAAAGCCCCACTCGGCCAGAGCAGAAAGGGTGGGCTCTGCCGGGAAGGGCAGTGTCCTTGAGGGGAGAGACGCCCGCACACATGCTGACCCCGCCCCTGTCGCTGTCGCAGTGTCTACTCGGGACACCAGTCGGTGCTGGTGCCCCCGCCGGAGCTGGAGACCAACGTGTCCCTGTGGCTGTGGGCTGTCAGCCAGTACAAGGCCCGTGTCACCTTCTGCTCCTACTCGGTGATGGAGATGTGCGCCCGGGGCCTGGGCGCGCAGACAGCGGTGCTCAGGGTGCGTGCCGTCCGGGCCTGGAGAGAGCCCCGGACCTCTCCCGGCAGCCGAAAACCCTCCCGGGGCGCCCCGCCCCCTGCTGTGAGCTCCCCCACACACCCCCAACACACACCCATGGTGCACCTCCTGGGAGGAGAGGGGGGCGGGCGCAGGGCAGGGTGGGCCCAACCCCGGGTCTCCGAGGCCTCAGGGGCCGGAGCCGAGAGGGCGGAGCGGGGGAGACAGAACCGAGGAGGCGGGGCTCGAGCAGCTTGGCCTTTCCGCTCAGACCCGGCGGTGTGCGCCCACTCCTCCCACAGATGAAGGGCGTGAACCTGTCGTGCGTGCGCACCTGCATGGTGGTGGCCGAGGAGCGGCCCAGGATCGCGCTCACACAGTCCTTCTCCAAGCTGTTCAGGGACCTGGGTCTGCCTGCGCGTGCTGTGAGCACCACGTTTGGCTGCAGGGTCAACGTGGCCATCTGCCTCCAGGTAGGCGGCAGGACTTCCCGCTGGGCGCCACGTGCACGCGCTGCGCTTCTCCGTCGGCCTTGGGTCCTTTCTGGTCCTCCCAGCCTTTGATGTTGCGTTTTCCAAATAGCACGTTAGCTTTGAGAGCTGAGGATTTTACTTTAAAAGAGATTTTGTTCTTGATGAACAAAGACTTATTTGGAAAAATCAAAATTTTTTTGACCAGTGACTATTATCTGGAAGAATTTCTAAGTTGGATATGGTATGCAATTAGTATTCTAAAGCAAGAATAACCTGATTGTTTTTTAAGACATCTAGCAATTTTAAATGGAAACATTAGCGAGTGTGATAATTTATATTGCCCAGAATTCATTTTTGGAACATTAAGATATTTTACTTATTAAAAGGAAACAAAGTTTCAGAACAGCTAACTATAGTGCAGTGCTGTTTACTGCTTCTGAATTCAGGTGACTCTGGCTGTTTTCCAGATTTCCTACTCGCACCTCAGTCCCACTTCTTTCTAAACCACGTTGCGTGCCTCACGCACCCACGTCCAGGAGTTGTTGGGAGGAAAGGCCTCAGGGGAACCACAGTTCCTCATCCCCAAGCCCGTACTGGCCAGTGCCTGCCGGACACAGGGAGGGTCTCGGCTGCAGAGCCGGGCGTCCTGTTGTCCTGGTGTTCCTGTGACGGCCTCTCCACAATGGAGATGGCTGACCATCTCGCTCGGACCCTTGCTGAGTGGCAGGAGCGGGGTGGTCCCTCGTGAGGTCCTCCCATTGTAGACAGTGCGACTGCACCTCGGCTGCTGGCGCAGGGTCGGTGGCTGTCAGCGCAGCCCTTCTGTCTGCTCAGTGTCTGGCAGCCCGGGCCCTCCTTCTTGGAAACGCGGTGGCATCTGTGTTGCTTATCAGCACGTGGGCAGCAGAAGTCTTGCTGGGACGTTCTTGGTTTGTACTTTGAGATGCAGTGACGCACTTTGCTCTCTCTCAGCTGTGTTTCTCACGTGCCTGTGCTCTCTGTGTTTCCTGTGGCTTCTCCCTGTCTCCCTCTGCTGGCCTCCTTTGTCCGCCCAACTGGCTGGGAAAGCTGGCTGAGCAGGTACGACCTTGACCTCGCCCTCGAGGTGCCTCTGTGCTTCCCATGAGTTCACGTGGCCTCTCGTGAACTCCAGACAAATACGTGTTTCTTCTGCTCACAGTGGACGTTATTTGACATATTACAAAAGCTCCTTTGTAACTGAATTTTAGGACAAAAAGTATTTTCAGAAGCATTTAACCTTCATTTTAATCAATTGCCTCTGGAGGAAGGGCTGTGTTTAGTCTCAATGAAAAAAATTTCCATTTTCATTCCAGGGCAGACATAGGTCGCTTTGGGATCTTCAGAGAATGATGCTGGGGCGGAGTGTCCATGTAACTTGATGTTCCTTATCTAATGAAAAGGAACGTGCTGTCCTGTAATCAGGGCCAACGTCAGCTGTCAGATGAGAGGAGAGAGAGTGAGGACGTCATTCTGGCAAATCCCTGGTGGGGCTTCGCTGTGCTCAGTCCTCAGGAGAATTAGGTCGGCGCGAGCATGGCTCAGTGGAAATGCCTCAAAACCCATAGCAGTGTTTTCTTAGAGACCAGCGGGAATAGAGCTATCAGGACTGAAATGTGAAACTGTTTGACTTGACATCTTCCTTCAGTGTTACTGGAGGTTTCCCTCGATGGTACCAAGCCTTGTAGATGTTTGCAGGAAGGCAGACTCTTGCTGGGAGCAGAGCAGCTGCCCTCCCGGCCCCACCCCACCCCCAGGGCCGGAGGAGCTGTCCCCCAGCTGCACCCGTGTGGAGGCGATGCCCCTGGAAACCACGGTGTGAGGCCCGAGTGGACGTACCTCTGCTGCTCCCCTTGCAGGGCACGGCCGGCCCGGACCCCACGACCGTCTACGTGGACATGAGGGCACTGCGCCGTGACAGGTAACAGCACCCAGGCCCCCAGGCAGCCTGGGCCTCCCCTGCATCCCTGTGTCCTCCCTTGATCAGTCATTCCCACGACCAGGAAGGGAATGACCTTCCAAGAGTGACCGAGCATTTGACACGTGGCTTTTTATGGGGTAGAAAACAAGTAAGCCCATCGTTGGGCAGGACAGAGGCATCACGTCAGCAGACATGTCCCGGGGGCCACGGTGTGTACCTGCGGGTCGGGGTCCCTCCTAGCTTTGGAGCCGGATCCCAGTTCTGGATCCTCAAATGCAGCTTGAGGTAAACCATGGTGGAGCTTCCCGGGGGGCGAGGCCAGCTGGCCAGGGACCCCCCGAGGACATAGAGCCAGCTCCTGCCCTGAGCAGTGCTTGGTGCGCCACGCACCCGAAGTCACTGCTCCAAGGTCACAGCAAGGTCCTGACCAAAAGGCTAAAGGCTTGGCTGTTGTCAGCGGACTGGCTATCGCAGTGATAATCAATTTCTGACTACCTTGTGAGTTGCCTTTTTAGAGATTGTTGTCTGTGTAGTAAATTTTATTCTGAAATTTTTCCCTTGTTAATTTTTAGGGTACGTTTGGTGGAACGGGGTTCTCCGCACAGTCTGCCATTGACAGAGTCTGGAAAGGTAGTGCAGGGGACTGGGCCTCCATCCTTGCATCGTCCCTGGGAGGTGCTCGCAATGAGCACAGACCCCTGTGGTCGGGCTGGGCTGGGCTGACGTAGAGGCCTCTCCTCGCTGCAAACACACACACACACACACACACACACACACACACACACACACACCACACCACACACACAAACACACACATATACACACACAACCACACACCACACACACACACACTTGCTAAGTCTTTACGTCTACATCTGAGCTCCATTTCCCAAAAGGGAGGACCTCAGGTGCAGAGATCTAGAAGGAACTACACTGCTGGGTCTTGAGGCCACGGGGCTCCTGTTGCCTTCATGGCGGCCCCGGAGCAGCGCACTGGGGCCTGGAAGAACTCAGCCCCTGGCTCAGGTGACAGCCAGGAAGTGGTCCCCACCACAGTGGCAGTTTACCATTAAAGCAGTCCAGGTCTGGTGCAATCTCAGGGGCCCAGAGTGGGCTCAGGTGGTGGGGCTGTGAGACCACCTGAGGGCACCCGGGGAAAAACTTTGAGCCGCCGTGAGGGGCCAGCAGACGGAGCCAGGAGGACAGGCGTTCTCAGAAGCAGGGGGGGTTCAGAGGAAGGACGAAGGCCCCCAGGAACCGTCAGACAATGTGATGGTGGGGGGAGGCCTGCGCCCCGGCCCCGGGCCTCCCTCTGCAGCTGCACAGCCAGAGGAGGGCTCGGCACAGCCCCTGCCCTGCGCGCACGTGCCCAAGCTGCCCCCAGGGAGACGGGGAGATGCCCGCGGGCAGCAGCGCAGGACGAGCCCTTGGTGAATGTGAGGGAGGAGCAGGCGGGGGCTGCGCACCAGCAGGGGCCGCCCCAGAGGAGGAGCAGAGACCTGGGGAGAAGGCTCAGCTGGCGCAAAGGTCCTGGGGCCACGGGGAGGCCTGCGTGCGGGAACTGCACTGGGGGGAGGGGAGGAGGAGAGAAGGGTGCTCTTGTGGGCAGGTGGGCGTGGGGCCTGGGAAGGAAGGCACAGACCCTGGAGGAGGGGGGTGCGGACACAGGCCAGGGCTCCCTTCCCGTCCTTCCCACGCGCACAGAAACGCCCTGTGAGCAGTCCGCGTTGTCCTTTCTGCAGACGCAATTCTTAATTCTTTCTGGTGCCTTTTTGTTTCCTATCACACGTGGCTCGGCATCCGTTTTTGATGGACTTTCCCCCCTGTATTTCTCTGTTGGGATAAATTGGCGCTGACAGACCTGGGTCCTGGAAAGACCTCTGGCTTCAGGGTTTGGGTGGGTGGGCCACACGGGGAGGGGTCAGAGGGTCAGCAGCATCTGGGGAAACAGAACGGCCCCACCAGGGCTGTGGGGGCAGCACGAGGAGAGGAGGGTCTGGCGCCGGCCGCGGTGACCTCTTGTGACCCCTCATCCCTTCCTCCACTGCCTGCAGGTCTCCACTGTCATCTCCCGTTTTACACCTGGGGAACTGAGGACACAGAACAGGTGTCCGGGAGCAGCCAGGTGGTCTGACTTGAGCCCCGTGAGGCCCCGCAGGCCCGGCGGGGGTCCTGGACCCGGGGCCCGTGCTCAGCAGCTGCTCCACTCTTGAGTCTGGGGGCAGGAAGGCCTCTTGGGGGCCAGGTTTCCATCCAGAGCCGGGGGCTCAGGGGGGCCGGGGTGAGGGGGGACGCAGCCGAGGCATGTGGACCCCCGGCACTCGTGAGCTCTCACAAAGGGGCCTCGGGGAAGGACCGCCTCGACCCCTCTTGCCGTCCAAAATAGGGTCCATTCTCAGGAACTGGGTGATTTTGCTAAGATTCAGAATTTATTTTTCTCTATTAAAATCTCTCCTGTTAAAATTCAAAGTCAGATTTAGGTTGGCTTCTGAACCTGATCACCCCCGTGTACGTGTCACATCCTTTGGATCAGCTTCGAAGGACGTTGTTTTGACGCACTTGAGTCAGGAGGGCCGTGCTGCCTCTGACCCGGAGCACGGTTCTCCTTGCAGATCCTCCCTGGAGTGAAGGTCATCATTGCCCACAGCGAGACCAGAGGGCCCCTGGGCGACTCGCACCTGGGCGAGGTGAGGCTGCAGGGCCCCAGCGCCCCGGGCCTGCTCTTCACCCTCCTCCCCGTTCTGCCCCGGATTCGGGAGTTCTGACCCTTTGGGGTCGCACGTGCTTTGGGGAACCTGGCCCCACAGTGCTTGTGCTCCTGGACCCAGTCCCTGGGTGGGATTTCAGGGTCCTGCCCTTGGGATGAAGCCCCCCACCCTGTTACCCTACTAGCAGAGGGAAACCTTGAGTTGCAGGCACTGGGTGGCTTAAGGAGCCTCGCAGGAGCCAGCAGCCATGGAGGATACAGCTGTCCCTTGAAGAGAAGTTCCTGCAGCCCCCAGTGGGGGTCAGCACGGGGCAGACCCCATAGCTAAGAGGGATGGTCTTCTCCATCCCGGGGACACGGGGCAGGGGGTTCCTCACTGCCCCAGGACACAGGCTGTGCTGGGGTCCTTGTTATGCCTGCGTACAGCACCTGGTCTAGAGTAACGGGACAGGTGGGACCCAGTACCTGGTGGCCAGGACGGCAGGTGGAGCCTGGGTGCCCAGGCTGGTCTGTTACGGTGGGAACGGTCTCAGCTCCCAGTTCCGGGCCTGGGGGCCAGCATCCTGCACTGCTGAGGGCAGCACCCACGGGTGTCCACACACACTGCCTGGCCCCTGACCAGCTGGGACGAGGGCATGGGTGGGCCTGGGGCTCATGCCGCATTGGCCAGGAAAGGTGTCCCAGTCCCAGGGCTGGGTGTGCTCTGCCTGGGGCCTCGCCCCAACCCCACCCCCTTCCTGGCCAGCTGGGCCCAGGCCTGTTAGGGCAGCAGTGGGTCCCAAGACAGTCCTGGCAGGTCTTCCCCAGGCCGGGACCCATGTGGCCACGCTGTCTCCTCTTTCGGACCCTGCTTTTGGGGGATACCTAGAGCCTGGTAGTCAGTTGGGAGCCGCCTGTGGGTCCTGGAGGGCCCTGCCTTTAGAAGGGTGCCCTGGGGGCCCGTGACGCTCTGGGCACCGTTAGCCCACGTGCGGGCGGGTCTGCGCCCCGACTCTCTCGCTGGCCCTGTGTGCACGTGCACGTGCAGGTTGCTCCCGGTTCTCTCTTTCCGTCAGCTGTGTACATCGCTGTCCCACAGGCGTCTCTCCGGGGTCCAAGGAGGGGAACGGTTCGTTTGAAGGAGGACAGTCACTTGCCTGCTTTCCGTGCCTGTTGTTGTAACTTAGTTCGAGTGCCCCGTCCCCGCCCCTGCCCCCGTGTGCTGTGGCGTTGCTGCCGTGAATCGGCACAGATTGTGCCGGGCACCGTGGCGACTGACCCCCTCGTCCCCTGGGCCCCCAGGTCTGGGTGAGTAGCCCGCACAGCGCCACTGGGTACTACACGGGCTACGGGGAGGAGGGGCTCCACGCCGACCACTTCAGTGCCCGGCTGAGTTTCGGAGACACCCAGACCGTTTGGGCAAGGACTGGCTTCCTGGGATTCCTCCGAAGGACAGAGCTCACCGACGCCAGCGGAGGTGAGGGGTCCCTGTGCAGCCCCACACCGGCACCTGAGCCCCATGCGGGTGGCATCTTGGGGGCCCCCGCTGACTCACCTCGCCCCTCGCTAGGAGCTTGTGTCTCTAGGTGCCCTGACACGGTTGTCTCTGAGAAAATTACTCTTTTTCCTTCACTGGTCTTGGACCCCAGCCTCTGCGGAGGATGCGGGGTTGCTGGCAGAGGCTGTGGGCCCCCCAGGCTTAGCCGTGGGCGCGTCTCACTAGCCATCTGTTGGGCCCTCCCCACACGGCCCCCCAAGCTTTCAAAGTCCCTTGGCCACAGCACGCTGGCCGGATGCCGTCAGAACTTTTGGGAGCCCCTGTAGCTGCTGCTTCGTTTCCAGAGATAGCAAAAGTTATTGTTAAATACATATTCAGACGTGGGCGTAACTTCTCTGAATCTCAGGGGGCCGAGCGTGGCCGGAGGCTGTCGTCAGGCAAGGTTTGAGTTGCCAGCCATCGGCACCGCGTGCCGTGCTGAGGTGGGCGAACTGTGCTGTCCACAGAACGACACGATGCGCTGTACGTGGTGGGGTCTCTGGACGAGACGCTGGAGCTGAGGGGCATGCGCTATCACCCCGTCGACATCGAGACGTCAGTGATCCGGGCGCACAGGAGCATCGCCGAGTGGTGAGGGCCTGGGGCGCCCGTCACCCAGCTCTCCGGGGCCAGGGCAGGCACCGCAGCCATGCGGGTGAGGCAGCCGCCTTCCTCTCCGGGAGCGGACCCCAGACACGCTCTTGGGATCACGGGCCAGAGACCCCTTGTTTGGGTTTGCTTGCTTTTTCCTCTTCCTAATCAGTCTTAAGCTAAGAGTCTGTCCGCAAATGCACAGGCAAAACGTGAGAGCTCCACGGTTATCCTGAAGTGCTTCTGCTTTTAACATGAATTTCCTGATTTAAATGGTCAAGACTCAGGATTTCTTCACTTTCTAGGGAGCTTGCCTTGGGAAAGGTACAGCTTTCGACATCACGTATTCTTGATTCTTAGCGAGAACTTTCATTAGAATAGATATTCCCGTAAAACACACTTAACTTGGCCTTTGAATTGTAACTGACCTTGAGCAGGAGAGTGACGTCAGTGAACCTACTTTGGTTTTTTCCACTGGTCTCTTTCTGATGCCCTTTCCCAGCCCCCAGAGCCTGTGCCCGACCCCGTGTGACACCGCCCGCCTTCTCCCTGCAGTGCCGTGTTCACCTGGACCAACCTGCTGGTGGTGGTGGTGGAGCTGGATGGACTGGAACAGGATGCACTGGACCTGGTGGCCCTGGTGACGAATGTGGTGCTGGAGGAGCATCACCTGGTGGTGGGCGTGGTGGTCATCGTGGACCCAGGCGTCATCCCCATCAACTCCCGCGGGGAGAAGCAACGCATGCACCTGCGTGACGGCTTCCTGGCCGACCAGCTGGACCCCATCTACGTCGCCTACAACATGTGAGCACAGCTCACACCCCGGCCCTGAGAGGGGCCTCAGGGCGCGTCGGAGGTGCTAGGATGTGTGAAACACGGCAGCATCTGCAGCCCCCAGGCCCTGGGAGCACGGTGCCCTGCCTCCTACGCTCTTACAGGTCCGTCTCATTTTAAAAACCACTTCCTGAGTTATTCAAAGAAATCTTTTTATTATCAAGGACATTTACAGAAGCATGAATGTCAGTCTTTTAACAGATGGGGTGACTGGGAGAGAGGCCTGGTGTGGGCACTGCGGGAGCTGCAGGTGTGAGTCTGCACTTTTTTAGGCTGAAAATACAGTTCTCAGTTTTAAAAATTCAAATGTTTTTTTCCCACTTCAAATGACGAGTTCATATATAGAATTTATGCTAGGAGGAATTTGAGACCCAAGTACAGCTGTTTCGATTCTGATTCACAGGAAAGCGCGGAGCCCAGAAAGGCTGGTGGACAGGAGTGAGGCTGGCCTGGCCGCCCTGCCCACCTTTGGGCCCCAGACCAGGCACTGGACGCACACACTTCCTCTCTTGAAACAGGTGTGCACGGCTGTCTGCCTGTGTGGTCACTAACGCTCGACAGGGGCCATCTGGGGCCGTCAGGTGAGGTGCTCTGTTTCGGAAAGATAAACCAGCATTGAGTTTTAAACCACTTTCTAAGTTTCTGATTTCTTGCTCTTCACCTGAAGTGCTTGTTTTCATAACCACAGTAGAAGGTCTTCTCACTGCACGGAAGCGTACTGAATTATCATTTTTATTCCACGTCAACAGACGTGGAAGCCCCGGTGGGGTGAGGTTTCCGTCCTCGGTGATGTCTGCTGAGCACCGGCAGTGCAGCCGAGGGGCCCAGCCCAGGAGGGCCTTGCCCCTTGCTGTTGCGTTTTGAGTTGTGTGCCTGTAAAATTTGGGCAAATCATGTTCAGTTATTTTATTCTAACTTGACCAGACTGAGTGGTATAATACTATAGTAAGTCTAAATCAAAGAAGAAAACGTGATATCCTTTAGTTACTTCTAAGAATTGGAAGTGAAGCTCGGATCTAGAGTATTTTTGTATCACTAATGAAGAGTATGTTACCAGTTGTCGGGGACTGAGGGTGGGAAAGTTTATGAATCATGCATATGCTTCCTAGAACAACCAGGTTTTTCTGGAATTAGCCTGGATCAGTGCCTAACAAAGTTGTTATTAATTCTCTACCATTTTACATTCTCCACCAAAAAGGCCTGGCTAGCTGGGCCAACTCTCATGTGTGACTCATATTTGGCTACAAGTAGCTTGCGCTCAGTAGCTGTTGGCCTGCGGCGTTGGCCCGCAGTGTGGTGTGTAACAACATACTGGAGTTTGAATAATCCTCTTGTAATTATGTACATAATCTGTGTAATTTATTGTTTGACATACAGAGGTCCTAGTAGTTGACTAATGGACATTCCTTATAACAGAATGGCCAGCAGGGGAAGAACTACCCAGCCTTGTATGTTGTAGTTTTATAGCAAACAAATATTATAAAATTTTTGTATTGAAAGGTCGGTGGCAGGAAGACAAGGTGTCTTGTAAATTAAGATTTTTTAAGAAGCATTAAAATGTTTTAAAATTACTCTCTGGGAATTCTGTATATCACACTAAAATTTTTATATCATTATGTTAATAAAGTTATTGACTGTTCGTAATTCTGCATTTTGAAATGTGTGAAAAGGTTTTTAAAATTACCCCAAATACGATGTATTTTATTATGCATTCTTCTTTCCTGGATATAAAAGCATTTATGCTACAGCATAATATCTACAAAGCACATTAAAGTATAAAGAAGAAAATTTAAATCTCCCATAATCCTACCTCTCAGTGATGACAGCATTAGTATTTGATGTAAATCCTTTCAAGGATTTATTTTTTCCTTTAAAACACTTTTACAAAATTAGGATCGATCATTATAATTTTATAATCAGCTTTTGTAGTTAATAAGTTAGACTTTTAATCTGTTACATATATTCTTCTAAATGTTTTAATGACTGTGTCATATGGGAGGGGGGGCTCGGCTGCATGCCGCTTGTATTCACTAGCTCGGTGTCAGCGTCGTTTCAGCCTTGCTGCCATGAACCTCCTCGCGGGTGTGTGTTCAGACGCAAGACCTGCCTTGGGCTCAGTTCCTACAGGTAGAGTTCGTGCCAGGTGTGAAGCTTTGGGCACCCCTGCCCTCGGAAGCGCACAAGGCAGCGTGGGAGAAGCATTTTCCTGGCAGCCTGAGAGCACCGGCAATAAATAAATAAGTCCTTGTCAATTTGATAGTCAAATAAGTATCATGTCTAGTGATGCTGAGTATGTTCTCACGTGTTTGTGGTCATTTTAATTTCTCGTTTGATGCATTCTATTTGGCAGGGTTTTTTTTTTTAATTCTTTTTTAAAATTTATTTATTTGGCTGCGTCGGGTCTTAGTTGCAGCACGCGGGCTTCTCTCTAGTTGTGGCGCACAGGCTCCAGAGCACGCGGGCTCAGTAACTGTGCCGCGCGTGGCTCTCTAGTTGTGGTGCGGGCTCCAGAGCACGCGTGCTCAGTAGTTACAGTGTGCAGGCTTAATTGCTCCACGGCATGTGGGATCTTAGTTCCCTGACCAGGTATCGAACCTGCGTCCCCTGCATTGGAAGGCGGATTCTTAACCACCGGACCAAAAGGGAAGTCCCTCAAGGGTTTTTAAAAAAATCTTTATTGGAGTATAATTGCTTCATAATACCGTGTTTGTTTCTGTTGCACAACAAAGCGAATCAGCCATATGCATACACGTGCCCCCATATCCCCTCCCTCTTGAGCCTCCCTCCCATCCTCCCTATCCCACCCGATAGGTCATCGCAAAGCTCCGAGCCGATCTCCCTGTGCTTTGCTGCTGCTTCCCACCAGCCAACTATTTACATTCGGTAGTGTACATATATCGATGCTACTCTCACTTCGCCCCAGCTTCACCCTCCCGCCCCATGTCCTCAAGTCCATTTTCTACGTCTGCCTCTTTATTCCTGCCGTGCAACTAAGTTCATCAGTACCATTTTTTTTTATTCCATGTATACGCATTAGCATACGGTATTTGTTTTTCTGACTTACTTCACTCTGTATGACAGACTCTAGGTCCATCCACCTCACTACAAATATCTCAATTTCATTCCATTTTATGGCTGAGTAATATTCCATTGTATATCTGTGCCACATCTTCTTTATCCATTCGTCTGTTGATGCACACTTAGGTTGCTTCCATGTCCTGGCTATTGTAAATAGTGCTGCAGTGAGCATTGTAGTACATGTCTCTTTCTGAATTATGGTTTTCTCAGGGTATATGCCCAGTAGTGGGATTGCTGGGTCGTATGGTAGTTCTATTTTTAGTTTCTTAAGGAACCTCCATACTGTTCTCCATAGTGGTTGTATCAATTTACATTCCCACCAACAGTGCAGGAAGGTTCCCTTTTCACCACACCCTTTCCCGCATTTATTGTTTCTAGATTCTTTGATGATGGCCATTCTGACCGGTGTGAGGTGATACCTCATTGTAGTTTTAATTTGCGTTTCTCTAATAATTAGTGATGTTGAGCATCTTTTCATGTGCCCCTTGGCCATCTGTATGTCTTCCATGGTGAAATGTATATTTAGGTCTTCCGCCCATTTTTTAACTGGATTGTTTGTTTTTTTGATATTGAGCTCCATGAGCTGTTTGTGTATTTTGGAGATTAATCCTTTGTCTGTTGTTTTATTTGCAAATATTTCCTCCCTTTCTGAGGGTTGTATTTTTGTCCTGTTTATGGTTTCCTTTGCTGCGCAAAAGCTTTTATGTCTAACTAAGTCTCATTTGTTTATTTTTGTTTTTATTTCTGTTACTCTAGGAGGTGGGTCAAAAAAGATCTTGCTGTTTATGTCAAAGAGTGTTTTTCGTATGTTTTCCTCTAAGAGTTTTATAGTGTCTGGTCTTACATTTAGTCTTACATCTTGAGTTTATTTTTGTGTGTGGTGTTAGGGAGTGTTCTAATGTCATTCTTTTACATGTAGCTGTCCAGTTTTCCCAGCACCACTTATTGAAGAGGCTGTCTTTTCTCCATTGTACGTTCTTGCCTCCTTCATCGTAAATTAGGTGCCCATATGTGCGTGGGTTTATCTCTGGGCATTCTGTCCTGTTCCATTGATCTATATTTCTGTTGTTGTGCTAGTACCATACTGTCTTGATTACTCTTGCTTTGTGGTATGGTTTGAAGTCGGGGAGCCTGATTCCTCCAACTCCGTTTTTATTTCTCAAGATAGCTTTGGCTATTTGGGGTCTTTTGTATTTCCATAAGAATTGTAAAAATTTTTGTTCTTATTCTGTGAAGAATGCCATCGGTAGTTGGATCAGGATTGCATTGAATCTATAGATTGCTTTATATAGTCATTATAGTCATTTTCACAGTATTGATTTTTCCAATCCAAGAACATGGTATATCTCTCCATCTGTTGGTATCATCTTTGATTTCTTTCATCAGTGTCTTACAGTTTTCTGCATACAGGTCTTTTGTCTCCTTAGGCAGGTTTATTCCTAGGTATTTTATTCTTTTTGTTGCAACGGTAAATGGGAGTGTTTCCTTAATTTCTCTTTCAGATTTTTCATCATTAGTGTATAGGAATTCAAGAGATTTCCATGCATGAATTTTGTATCCTGCAACCTTACCAAATTCACTGATCAGTTGTAGTAGTTTTCTGGTGGCATCTTTAGGATTCTCTGTGTATAGTATCATGTCATCGGCAAACGTTGACAGTTTTCCTTCTTCTTTGTCCAATTTTTATTCCTTTTATTTCTTTTTCTTCTCTGATTGCCGAGGCGGGGACTTCCAAAACTATGTTGAATAAGAGTGGCGAGAGTGGACATCCTTGTCTTGTTCCTGATCTCAGAGGAAATGCTTTCAGTTTTTCACCATTGAGTATGATGCTTGCTGTGGGTTTGTCATATATGGCCTTTATTATGTTGAGGTGGGTTCCCTCTATGCCCTTTTTCT